TTATTCCCAAATCCAAATACCTCGCACTGGGAAACAATGAGTACGCCTACCTACAGGAGAGCTGCAAGAAGATCACGCAAAATACACAACTTTGCCCTCTGTTGAATACCCAAGACATAGAAAAAACAGAAGACTGTATAATATCACTCATAAAACATCAAGAAGCCAACTGCACCAAGGCGAGGATGAACATCAAACATGGGAAAATTCAAAATCTCCAAGACAACAAATGGCTTCTGTTACTACAAGAAGAAGTCATCCTGCGAACGACCTGTGGACCAAAATCCAGCTATAGAAGAGTAGATGGAATACAAATCGCCTCTATTACAAGCGACTGTCAAATAGAAGTCTTGAATAGAACCCTGAAGACCAATTGCAACCACATCTCAGCTGATGAAGTTATCCCCCTTCCAAGCCAGACATTTGCTCCAGTAAGCAACGTACGATATGAACTCCAATTGGAAGACATACCTTTGGATAGCATTCACGAATTAATGGACCGTGCAGAAGAAACCTTTAACGACAGCGACATCAACTGGCAAACCATCATGGCAACCCCAAGCTGGTCTACATTGGCTTTATATTTATTGCTGACTACATTCGTTGTATGGAAATTATACCAGTGGCATCAACGAAAGCAGAAACCAATTAAGGAGTGCACCGAGGACGCTGCAGGAAGCTGCGGGACGCGCTTCCATCTTAAGGAGGGAGGAGTTAAACGATGCAAAACTGCATCGTCTGCTGACCCAAATTCGGACGCACCAACGTGCGTCACAAGTAAAGTGCAAATGTAGCATAAGTTAGCTGTAAAATTATTAATATAGTTAAATCAGTCTTTGTAGAATATTCAGATAATAAACTTGTAATTAAAATAAATAAATATTTTTTTTATAAATTAACTGCCGTCGTAAACTTAACTCGGCTCATATTGTTTTTCTCTTATTTTTTCCCAGTCTAATTACTCGATTTTTGAACGTTTTGAGAAAACATAGTTTTTCAATACCTAATGCGACGGGATATAGCCGGTCTCGTCACATCCCTAATCACTTCAAGGAAATTTTATTTAGTTATATACGAGATAGGACTTAAGGTCAATTCCACAGGGCGCGTATTTTCGTCGGAGAGCCAATATTCCAAAGCAAAATGGTAATAATCGGACCATTCATCGTTCCATTTCGTGCTATTGTTTATTCAGAAATACAATCTTAAATCGATGTTATTGTATGAAGAATATATTTTCACGTCCCCAATAGCATAAATAGTACTGATATTTCCTTAATATACATACAATATTGTACCGAGATTATTATGTAATTCTGTCACTAAAACTTTTGTGGAGAATCCAAAATAGGTAAATATTTTATATGTGAAACACCATGAAATTAACTAACCCCAAAAAAATCATCAGTGTAATTTTTTGTTTTGGATTTAACCTGACAATAGAGTAAGATTTCAAAAAATCACACTTTGGCAGCTCAGTATAATACAATCTGCTATCAACTATAGTTAGTAATGAATTTTAGATATCAATCTGATAAAAAAACTTATATGTTATACAGTTTTTCAGTTATTTGAGCACGTTCGTATAAAATGTATGGTTTATGTAAACTTTCTATCAGCGGCTTCACCCACATGATCCTGTATTATACAGATAAACCTTCCTCTCGAATCACTAATTATATTGCTGAAAACTACATTAAAATCCGCTGTGTAGTTTAGAAGATCTCAACGTAAAGAAAGCGGAAAGTAACTTTGTGTTATACTATATATAGATTTGTACTACTTACAGTGTACGTGAATACTATGTGAAAAATACGATCAACGTCAAAAACATTGTACTCGATAAATAACACTGCGTTACACAATTTCGGTACCCGTTAAACTGATAGCTGGAATGAATAGGTAATTAGTCACAGATAAAATGTTCCAAATATATGTGGTATCCATCACGTCTAGTTTTCGAGGTACATGTCAATCATTATTTTAAACTCTCACTTTAGGAGTAAAACAAACAGTTGAGGTTTTCGATGTATTATACTTTTTTTATTGTTTTGTTTTATTAATAAATCGTTTCTATTCGATAACCTCGATATCTCTAAACATATTTATTTAAAAATCCAACATGAATACTGAACTAAGCCGTTGCGACTGTAAAAATGAACCAAATAAATAAGTTTTGTTATGTTTGTGGACAGTACATTTTTTTTCTGTTTTCATAAAAGTGAGAAGTGCATATTTACTTTATTTTGGATGTGTAAATCAAGATAAATTATGGATACCACAGTTTTTTGTGTTACGTGCTATGCTACTCTCATATCTTGGTTAAATGGAAACAAGACGTCAATGCCATTTGCCGTACCAGCTTTATGGCGTGGACCTAGTAATCATTTTTATGATTGCTACTTTTGGATGACTGACATACGTGAATTTTCAAAAGAAAATCAAGCACATCATTTAGTATCCTGATATTCCTTTATATTTGAAACAAATACCTCACAAAGAAGAAATGCCTCCTCCATTACCTCATACCAAAGATGAAATTGGGATTTCAGAAGCGCAAGATATGCCAAATGTTGTAAAATATAATGACGACAGACGCCTGGTTATCACTGTTAAATAATTTTTAGGGTACCATAGAGCCGAAAATGCGGAATAGCTACTTAACTATATGTTAAAAGCATACGGAAAGTTGGGTTGTAGAATGCCGTTAAAAATTAACTTTCTTCATTCCCACTTTCCTTTTTTCTATCTAATCTTGGTGCTGACTGACATGAGAGGTTCCACCAAGATATAAAGAAGCTTGAAGGATGATTTCTAGGCCATTGGGATACAACTATGCTAGGCGATTACTGCTGGCGTCTAAAATGAGAAGGTCCTTCAAAACACAAAAGATAAAGTAAAAATATAAAGGTATTCGAGGTTTAAATTGTATGCATTGATTTTTCTTGTATTTTTTATACCAAAATGATAAAAAATAAACTCGATTAATGAAAAATATCTTGTACATTTTATTAGATATCTTTAAATTATGTTTGAATCTTTAAATTTTTAGTGTAATTTGTCATATCCTCACGGAAAAAAAATGAGACGTCATAAAAAGAAAATATGTATGTATTCTTACTAAACGATAGGAATAAATAGGAAAACATGACATTTCATAGCGGGTACTTAATTTTTTTTTTCATTTGTAACGCAGTGTAATTCAACAAAGTCCAACCAATATTATGCTTAATAAACCTATTATATAATGAAATATTCCGCCCTAGGATCTACGTTCAATCTGGAGTTAACACACCGAAATTAGGGGGAACATAAAAAATATTTGCATCTAACAATAGACGGGAATTGTTTTCGGATAATCGTATATGAGGCGAGCATTGTGGATTTTTTTATACGCAAAAATAATGCTGATATCCGGCTTATCTGATCTGGGTACTGTTTTGTTTTACATAAATTCGGGTAATTTTGGGGTGTTCTTATATATATTTTTTGCGATCATCTCCCTATGGATTATCAGAGACATCACACAGAGACAGCGTTTGATACTAGTCAGTATCTGACAGACTCGTTATGAATAATCATATTAAGATATCATTTTTAATAAAAAAAAAGTATCTTAATAATGATTCGATATCAATCAATTTATCTGTGTGACAGTTCTTATGTTGATTTCGTAAATATTAATTATTAATGTACATTCTGGCAAGTCTTACCAAATTTTAATAAAAGGTAAACATTTTTACTGTAGATTTATACTGTTAAGTAGCTTTTTTAACGAACAGAAACTAGACAAGAGGCGGACTAGTTCGGGCCTCTCCAACTGCAAGGAACGCCATCACCCTCACACGTGGTCCGGTCTCTGGTAACTGGCAAGAAATTTCAGAATGATCTCGACCATATATTGAATAGCAGCTAACTTAATCAATCTAGAAATAACAGAAGAAAAATAAAAGAAGAAATTGGAACCGATAATGCAGTTTGGATAACCTAAATAAAGTTTAGTTTGTGCAGAATTATAACAGAATTTTTATCAATGGTATAATAAAAAAGTTACTTTTGCCTCTCCCCAAATGGTTACAAGGAGTAAATTACTATACCACACCCACTGCAGTATAAGGAATCAAATATCGATAGTCTTATTATATTAATATTTTCCATCCACCTCCAGAAGAGGAACAAAGATTTCCAAAAACGACACAGACACTTGTGTTTGGTAACAATTCATTTGACACTCGATGACATTTCACGCTAATGGTACAGTAGTAAATGAGATAAATAACATTAAACATTTTTTTCGTTATACTATAATCTTCATTAGCTTCAATAAACCTTTTTGTGTATTGTATTCCAAATAATATGACAAAGGGCTCAGATAATAATTTCTGTTCAAAAACTTTTTTCGTTCTCTCTCAGCGTTCTTATAAAACATGGTATAATTTCATTATTATCCTTCAAGAGATTCTGTCATGGATCTAATTATGTCAGTTTGTTCGAGACTCGTAAGACAAATGACAAAATAAAAAAAAGAAATAACTGGAGAGAAAAGATGGAGCATTTTACATAAATATTAAATCAATCTTATTTAAAACTAAAAATATGTCTTGTATAATGATGTTAAGTTTGCACGAGTTTTTTTATCGGATAGATTGAGGATAAATTCGATTGAAACTAATTAAACAACTGAAGTTTTATCGTAATTAATATTTTATTCGCTATTTTTAATTTATATGTTTCATTTAAAGGGATTTCTTAGAATCTGGTTATTTTAACATTATATCATGTCAATAGCACATCAAGTTGCGCGAAAGAAACTTCCATTAAGCAAGTCCAAAATTTGATCCTTTTTGGTCACAATATATTGATACTTATGACTGTATATAGTTAAATACAATTCAAACGCACCCGTTAAAGCGAGACATCTATATACTGCTATCTCGCTTCAACTATTTCTGACGAGAGACGATAATAAGGTGAAATCCTGTATACTAAAAATCACTCACCAACGACAGTTAGATGCACCCTTCTCACCAAAGGGGGATGCGTAGAAATTTGACATTCATAGTATCCTTCGTCTCGTTCACTCACGTACTGAATAAGCAATCGCCAATCATTTGGGTGCTCGAAGGCTAAAGAATATCTAGAGTCAGCTGAATAAGTGTGACGACCGAACGATAGAAGATGCAACTCCTCTCCACGTCGGCGAACCCAGGATATCTAGAAAAAAAAAACACTATTAACAATAACAAAAAACACCTTCAACTAACGTCGAAACTAGCCACTTATTTATTAGAGCAAAGTTACTACGAAAGAAGAAAGTAATTATTGAACACAATCCTTAATATAGAATATTGGAATTCCTTCTTAAATTGCTAGTAATAGAGAGAAAAAATTGAAATTTTTCAATAAATCCTGCAAATCCACAACCCACTTGCTGTTTCGCATGGCTTATCTCAATGTTTATAAGTTCATTATTTATTTCTATAAAAACAATTTTGAAAGGAATTTCAATATTCCGTAGTACAGGGATACAATTTATATTATTTAGGTTGCTCTCCACTATTAGAATAGAATGGGATAAGTTATGATTTGTTTACAAACCGACAGCCTAGTTTTCGATTTTCACATGTGTTTGGTTAACAGCTTAGAATCCTATTAATATTATAAAGGCGAAAGTTTGTAAGTATGGATGTATGGATGTTTGTTACTCTTTCACGAAAAAACTACTGGACGGATTTGGATAAAACTTTACAGCAATATAGGTTATACATCAGAATAACACATAGGGTACTTTTTACTGGGAAAACTTCTCACTCCCACGGGATACCGACTTCCACGCGGACGAAGTCGCGGGCGTCCACTAGTGAATAATAAATATTTAACATCATCACGTACAATGCTCAGCTCTCAAACCTTATAATCGACTTAAGCTCTTCTTAGAGTAATAATTAGAGATTTTCACCATATAACTTTTTTTGTGAACCCCCAATATTTCTATCTTTTATTATCCTTTAATCCGGACGCTTGTAACAGTGCTAAACTATAGAAGACTCATACAAAATAATAGCACATAGTACAAATTCGCTTATAATAATACTTTCTACTCTTTTATTATGAAAAACTGGAACAGCAAATTTATAACGCTCAGATCCGAGACAAATATAAAAGTTCATTTACTGCGTTAACCCTTCCAGCATGTTTACTGTGTTCACTCCAAATGTTACAATATCTCTCTTAACCCGAGAACTCTCTCTAGGGTTCGGGTCTTCGAAAACACGGACATAAAGAAAAGAATTATTTAAATTCGTGATGCTACGCGTGCAGCACGCCTATCGTGCAACTACATTGGCATCGATTTGGTTGACATAAGATTCGATTAAAAATACAACTCGTAATGGAGGTCGCAATCAATATTGTTTTTTATGATTATAATTTCGATTAGATAACATTTCATCGTATACATATATTCTGTCCAAGTTAAACTTCACCAAGCTCTGTAATGAACTTTGAGATATAAATTAAGTATCCTAGTTAATCCGTAATAAAATTCTTTTGTTTAAAAAACTTTATAAATTGATCTAATAGTTTAAAGAAAAGTCTAATCTTCTTTAGTAAAACTATTTTGAATGGGTCTAGCACGTACATATTTCTTTTCATGGCGTTTTTACAAGTTGTGTGTAATCTGTTCAAAATAGTTTTATTTAATGAGTAGTGCGCGTAAAAACATCAGTATCTAGTTTTCTCCTCGATGTAGATTTCATTACAGGCTATCAGCATTCTCCTGACAATAACAAACCTTTTGGTAACAATTAAAAGGAATGAACGAAATCGATCCAGTCGTTCACGTGTGTTGGCCTGACCAAGGGAAATAGGGATTTATTTGATAATTCAAATTCTGTTGTATACCAACTCTAAACTAAAAAAAATCTAATTTGAATATGGCTTCGCTTTAACCATTATTTGTGGTATTTTAGTATTTCTTTAAAACCAGTCATCTAAGAAACTTGGAATGAGAAGTGCATCTGAAGGTAACCACTTCCAAGAATATTCCATTCCTTTAAACGTAATATTTAAATATTTTTACAAATATTTTAAACTTTCGATTGAGACGAAAATTTGTTCTAAATTATTATATTTGATAAATTTTGCATGGCGCAATATAGGCTTTATCAACAGTATCTAACCTACTGCCATTTGAAAAAAGTGAATTTGCTAAGTCGAAATGGATACCAAAATTATCTACTAGGTTACCATGTTACGTAAAACAAATAAAGTATTTGAGTTATATTAGCACCCCGTCAACATGGACCAATCCAAATATAATTAGACTGTGCCGTTGTCGTGGTGAGTTATAGCCTTTTTGCGTGATCCTGCTTCGTGCCTAGGCATGTCAAACTTGAAATTATTACGAAGTTATAATGTCAATAAGGCATGATTTAGCACATTGAAAATTATAAGTCTCGAAAAAAATGCGAAAAACTAAAATGTAAGCACTAATAACACATTAAAATACTAGTTATGAAATAATGAAGTTATAATCAACACTTTTATTCAACAATAGCATAGCATAATAACATAATTGATGTCAGTGAAAAAAAACCAAAGAAATACGGTAAAGAAGTTTCACAGAAGTTATTTTATGATATTCTGATCTAATCTTGTTCACAGTCTATTAGTGAATTAGTCATAAATAAATAAAACAAAAACCTAATTAAGTTGAAGGAACTTTTTCTATACTTATTATACTAAATAACACCCTATTATTAGCGTAGACTACGCTGTCACGGATAACATAATGCTATACTAGTAATGTTGTTAAGCATCTGTCCTTACAGTCATATTTCTTTGTCAGCAGCCAGGACTGTATACACAACCGCTGTCTTCTCTGCAAATATCAATGATATACTTCCGTAGTTATGATGCGAGCTTAGTGACAAAAGTAGCGGGTCGGCGTAATTTTTTGTCATATTATAATTATTGAAGTACTTTAAAAATAATTTTAAATAAACATTATATTCTTTCGCTATATTGTGTGTTATTTTTTTATATTTTTATATCAACAACTTTGTACAACTTTTTTTCTCATATCTCATAACATATGATCAAGGAACGGTTATGCGAGCACTGGTTATTTTTTGCCATCGTGACGTATTATCTTTGTCACCTTACTCTTGTCATGTCTATGAAAGTTACCAAATCCTAATATTAAACTGTAAAAAGCTTTTTATTTCGATGTTAAAAGTAACTTATGGTATTTCCTAACCTTCAAATCTTTATACGCAAAACAATCATACATCAATGCTCCGTCATGGCTTGAAATAAGAACAAACATAGACACGTTTATTTATAGTATTAACATAATATCTTTATAAAAAAGGACCCAAAAAACCCAAATGTAGAACTGCTGCTAAGTAAACATAAGTTCGTTATAGATTAAATCTCCCCATATGGTGCGACGTTAAGGAACCTTTCTCGATAACTATTAGTGGCCTCCATAATCGAGTGGCAACCTCTGCGGTCGAGTAGATCGCTTGAGAGAAATCAGATTACATAGGTTGGTGACCGGGTCAATGTAAAATAAGACTTTCTATGTTACTTTCTCTTTCGGGTGATTCTAGTACTTTTATTTCTCGCCTACTTCGATAGAAAGAGTCTGTATGCAGGGTACAGGCGGTTTCTGTGAGCTAAATTCATTAACCGATAAAGCAAATGATAACCAATGAAAACTAGGTACAAAATTCAAAATCGACAATTATGCCAATCAGGCGGTCAATATCAACCAGTGTAAATGTGCCATTGAACTTTATCTAATATATTCCTTTGCTAATAACATAATATATAAGTAATTTAGTTAAATTGACCGATAAAGCAAATGAGCACCAATGAAAATTAGGCACAGAATTCAAAATCGACAATTATGCCAATCAGGCGGACCATATCGACCAGTGTAAATGAGCCGTTAAACTTTCTCTAATATATTCCTTTGCTAATAACTTTAAATATAAATAATTTAGTTGAATACGGTCTAACTAAAGTATATTCAGCTCACTTATCTCCCGCTACCTCTACGTTACCCAGTTCGGAGTCTTAAAGGAGCGGTATTAGTTTATATCTCATGTGATATACAAACATTTCTCTCTTTTGCTGTACAGAACTGTGGAAAGTTTCGTTTGAATAAATAATAAATTGTTATGAAATTCCTTTTACCTTATGCTCATGACTGTTTCAGTTAATTCTATATTTAGATATCTTACTACAAAGCGTTTCAAAATACATATATATATATAAAATATACAGATAAAATACTTCTAATAGTAATTTTGTCGTGAATATGTTTACTGACAAACTCTCGGTTCATTATTAATAAAACTCAGAAATCTGGTAAAATGTGGTCAAATTCACAAACTTACTTCGCATAATTACAAACTAGCAATATTACCCTTATTGTTTTAAACCACAAGTCGATAAACTGGACGGTTGCAGCGTCAAATAAATTAATGAAGTCTATGATCGAGGTTGCTATTACCACATTTTGTGTTATTGAACATTGTTTCTTGATAACTCATTATGTGAACATTTGGTTACTGGAAGAACTAATAATTTCCCTCTTCATACGACCAAACAACGCAATATAAATTAAATAAACATCATATTTACAGTAGTTTACCATCCGATTCCGTATAGAATATTCACATAGTTCACAAATCAAGCTTCACAGTTTAATTCCGAAGTCTATTAAACCAAAAACAATTTACAATGGAATGGAAGTTGAATGCAACGCAACAATGTAATTACTTAAGCTTAGCCCAGCTAGACGCACAATATTCCTAGTATTTTACTATGACTGCTTCCTTCTATTTCTCTCTCTTTCTCTTCTTTTATACTTTATTATCATCCCGCTTTGGTTTGCACAGTTACAATTTACTAACAAGAAATTGTTACGTAGCTGGCATATATTTGCAACATCTTCAATAAATTTTAACCAAAACTTACACAAGGGTAATTTACTCCACAAGCATCACTCCGTCTCTATAAAATACTTAAACTGCATAATTTGCATTAGGTAAATCCTCGCTTTGAAATTGAAAGACTTACTTTGTTTTATAACGTGTAAAGATTGAGTAGCCGTCAGTCTATAATAGTTACAATTTTGACAATAATTTATTTACACACAAAGATAAAATACAATGAAGAAAATTAAAAATAAATTACAAAAATTAAACATTATAAAACAATAGCTAACCTGCTAATTTTACAAAAAAAAATAGCATCTGTAGCGGGGCTAGTTCAGTATTTCAGCTTACAGCGCCTTCGCAGAGTTTTTAGTGATTTTCATTGATAAAATTTTAATAAATATAATAACTGAAAATTGTCTAAAAACAAATAAATATATAAAATCCATTTAAATTAAATACGATAAACATAGAAGAAAATATTGTCTTAATTATAAATAGTTACGATTTATCTATTTTTTATTTAATTAGTAATAGTTATGCTTGTATATTAGCCAAAATAACTTATCTATGCACAAATAAAAGGTGAATTCCTGACATGCTGACTGACAAACAACGCACAGCCTTATACCACTGGTCGTAGAGACTTGAAAGGTTGAGGTTATTTTTTTTTGCAATTTAATACGTGATCATGAAATTAAATTGACTTCCTGATAGAATTGATTAATATGAATAGTTAGAATAATAAACTTTGTTAAAATACCTAATCTCCTTGACATTCCTATACCTAATGATTAAAGATGAATAAATAGCTTTAAGGTTTTCAGAGATAAAGTACATATTAAACAGCAGTCTGTAAATTACATGTTTAGCTGTCGCTCTTCCAAAAAAATAAATAAATATAGCCTTTTGTGGTAGTGTCTTCGAAGTTAAATATCAAAGTAATGTTATTTTAATATCGCGGATATTTAACTATTAATGAAATTAATCATTGTGTGTCGTATCGTGTTCAGTTAACTAGTTCCCTGGGTTTTGTACAGCCGCAATGTAGAAGTACGTGGTGATGGTTATTCAGCTGATCGACATTTAGCCGTGCAAATTAATGACGATATTCTATTAAAAGACTAGCCTAATTGAACGGATTACCTTAAATTTAATTTTACCTTAAAATTCGACCAAGCAATTGCGACTTATATTATAATTCGACCAAGCAATTGCGACTTATACTATTTTATTTTAGTAACTATGTGGTTAATTATTCCATTCTAATGTTATATAGCGAAAGTAGGTATTTGTTCGTTAAGCTCTCACACCTAACCCACTCAAATAGTTGACTTGAGATAGGACATAGGTTGCTTGTTATTGTGAAAAAAGGTTGAAATAGGGATTTACAGTGTATGGAGCATCGTCATTGTCAAAGACAAAATCATGAAACTTCATATTTAGGTATGAATAAATTTGTTTTATCGTTTTTAGGAATGCTGCCCAAAGTAACAATAATACGCGGTCAAAGTTGCGGACAAAAGCTAGTACTATATATAAATGATTATGTTTATTTCCCACTTTTAGAGATTAAGGTTTAACAATAAAAATAACGAATCTTACCGTCTTTTCTCCCAGGTCATGGACTCTGCAATGCAGATGCACTCTGCTTCCAAGCTGTGCAGTCACATTGTTTGTAGACGCGTCGTCTTCGAAGAAGGGTAGCGGTTCCGAAGTTGTTGTGGAAATATCATCATCGTGGTCTTCGTAAGTCTCGGTGAAGACTTCATGCCAGAAGGGACCGTTGACTACTTTTTTGTCACCGGTTTTGAAATCTGTTAGAAGAATAACACGTCATACATATAGAAGAATTGGTGACCAAAGATATATACACCCAAGACATAGACATAGCTCGAAAGACTCAGTATAATATTCATTATCAGCCCCTTTTACGTCCCCACTGCAGGGGCTCAAGAATTCCTTATGGATGGTTAAGGAGGATGGGCCAGGACCCTCCACGCTGACCCAATGCGGATTGGAGGGTATTAACGACTGCAAATGCAGCCGGGACCAACGGCTTAACGTGCCTTCCGAAGCACGGAGTAGCTTGAGATAATCATTTTTTGGTCACCCATCCCGTGACTGACCCTTGCGAAAGTTGCTTAACGACAACGATCGCGGGCCGCGGCGCTTATCCACTGCGCCACCGAGCTACTCAGTATAACATTGTGAACGCAAAATTGACCAAATGTAATAATTAGAACAAATTTTCATCTTTATCAAAAGTATTTGTAAAAATATTTCTTTCGGCTGTTTGGGTGGATTGCCTGATTATTTAGCGAAAAAGTAATAAGTGCTTGAAAAATTTGTCAGTTCTGTTAGGTCCTGGGTAGCTCGCGCGGTGGTATGGCCTTCGGGCTGATCCCGTGCATCGCCTTCCATGCGTGGGACATCGATGAGTTTTAGTGGGTATACCCCTGCTATTTGACTAGCCCCATTCTGGGGCGGGTCCTCTGGGGGGAGCCCCACATAACCCGTGGAGCCTGGGTGATGCGGGTATGCAGTAATGCATTTCTCAGCGTCAAAAAAAAAGGTCCTGGGTAGCTCGTGGTTAGAGTAGTCGCCCAGATTGCGAAAGATCATAGGTTCGTGGCCCTTTTCATAGTGCACATAGGCACCGAGTGGATTTTTTAAAATATTTTACATTAAGAAAAATATAATTAAAATATAAAGCAAATATAAAGAATATTTCTATTTATTTCGATCATCGAAAAATTAAGCAAATTGTTTTTTTTTATCTATAAGAGTCTCTAGCAGACAACCAAAATGAAATAAATAAAACGACGATCAACAAGGCAGATTAACAAACAATTGATTACATGACACTGGTTTTTAACTAGCTTTCATGTTAAACCTCCGATGTAAAATGAAAGTGTCATCAAAAGCTCTGTTTCATAAACTAATATTCGTAAGCAAATAAAGCATTTTACGTAACATTATACCATTTTGTCGACACCAACAGTGCTTGAAATTTAATTAAAATATAAATCAATCATCATCATAAACAGAAATGAAATGTAACCAATTTTCTCAGCTATTGAAAAGCGAAATTGTCGAGTCTTGATTCACAAATTTCTATTCCGTGTTTTCGATAAAGGTTTCGGTATTATTTTGTTGTAACTTACATCATATCGTAGCTTATTGGGGGACTGATTTTGATGAATCTTTTTAATAGTCCCAATCCTCCCATAGTTTAATGAGGTTTGGTCCTCTTTTGTCACAAAATAATCATATACAGCTATTATAATGTCGAGTTAAATCTTCATTTCTTAGTACTCTGTTGTGGGAAAAGGTCTCATGCACGAAAAATGACCCCGTAGTTTGGGGAAATTGGTCATATGATGGAGTTAAAAGAGCCTAGTGGTGCAAGGAATGAAGCACTATAGTACAATGATCTATGTGGTGTAGAAAGAGAAGCCATAGGTGCGAAAAAACAAAACCTCTGCACCACATGTTCATAACCTTATGATGCAGAGTTATGAAAATTTTACACGGAATATATTATTATAGGGGCATATTAAACTGCTTAATATCACCAGTTTAGCTTTATACGACCATTAATTACCTTATTAGTCTAAGCGACTAGTTATACTAAATTAAATACTATTCTAATTATTTATTTTTTATTTAAATAAAAAGGATTGACAATATAAACTCAATGTGTTGCTCTGAGAGGAAACATTTATTTGTAAGAAACAAAAACAAATTGTATTATTACTTAAACTAATATACATAACTAAATACCTACCCGAAAGTAAAGAGACGACATTTAAAATTATATAAAATATGTAATTTAAACATCACTAATTTTAAATACTATTTCTAATTTATTTATATCAACATTTTATACATCAGTGTACATACTTTCTAATACATAAGATTTTTAATAAATTCAACATTTTTAAAAAATGGAATTATTAGAAAACCAAATAGTTTTATGCCACCCCGTCATCTCCATTTAAATAATAAAATATTGCTTTCCTTCTTTATATACATAAACACTTTTTATTGTTATATTCGATTAACTTTGCATTTACAATTCTATATAATGACTAGTTTAACGCTCAATTATATAATTATGAATATACTATTTTATTAACTGTAGAATGATTTGAGAAAGTACCAAAGTTAATAATTCACAAACCAAATTTATAGTTTATATGTATCTATGCCAAATTTAACTCTATTATTATAGATGGTTGGTTGAAGTTAAAAGTAACTTTATGTAAAGATGTTAAAATTAAAATTCAGATTAAATTAATTACACATTGTTTTACAAAATTACACATTTGATTTACTTCTTTAATTAAATCGACCCACTAACCTGATTGTACACAAAAGTTTGGAAAGAAAAACTTTCTATATTATTACTGGGTATCATCAGTTTCATTATTAAACTTTTTATTATTTAAGACTCTCGTGTAAATATTGTTACAAAGTTCGTCTTTAATATTTTTAATAAACATACATAAAATAATACATATATTATAAATAATACGAAATAAAAATAATAAAAAAATATAAAGGAAATACCATTATTAATACCATTAGTTTTTGAGGAAGGCAAGAATAAAAGGTTTCAAGAGCTACCTTCATCCGATAGATAAATGCGCTTTCACCGCGACTGCAATTGTCTGATATCTACAGGCAATGAATTCTACAACCGAGTTGCGAGTAAAGTAAACGAATGGCTACAGAAGTCTGTCCAGTTGTGAAGGACCGAAAGGCGAAGACTGTTTGATGAGCGAAGAGGAAGGTCTTGCGTGGACGATAAGAATTTAAAACATTGTTTAAAATATAAATTACTTTATGTGTATCGCCTTTGTTTATAATATTTATAATTGAAGTGTGAGGCAACGCCATCTATGTAATTTTGGAATGTATAGTCATAATCACAAACTTCATATATAGCTACTGCCATCTAGTGCAGAAACAATGTAACATAAATAGTCAGTAAAAGTGAAGTGTAATTTTTCTTATGAACCAATACATTTGTACTAGTAAAGTCGTAACAAAAATGTGCAACAGCTTTCTAAAGCTTTTTATTACCACTGCTACTGTGTTATCCTGCCTGACCTCTGCGGTGGGTATAGTGAGTGATACTAAAGGGGTAGTATTTATACCTTTAGTACTGCCACCACCAACCTATTAATAGGGATTAAGTCTTGCCATGACCCACCACACGAGCCCAGTGCGGATCAGTGGGTGTTAACGCCTCCATATATAGCCGGAAACGGCCTTCGGAAGCACGAAAGAGCTCTAGATAATAAACTTTTGTTCACCCATCCAATAACCAGCACTTGCGAAAGTTGCTTAACAGCCATATCGCAAACTAAATGCGCTAACCACTGCGCCTTCGAACTCCGTTAGTAGGTACTACAACATATTGAAATATCAAGCTTTAGATAACACTTGCACATTTTTGTCTGCGGCTCTCCGTGTATATATACCTGGTATCTGCGGTGCTATAACGCATAGTGTTCTGCTGAGCAGCGAGCAGAATACCAATAAAGCAGCCGACGTCATCTTGTTAACCCCAGGAATTGGGAGCCATAGATTTCATCTGTCCAGCCTTCGTTGTACCTGTAACAAAATAAAATGAAGTTACAGTATATCATTATATTATTAACGACTTGGCACCTAGACGTCAATAAGTCTTCTTCTTCTTTTTTAATTAATGGCTTATCTGCGCATTTTGCAATTCTGATAATGTCAAGTAAATAAATTAATTTTTACATGTAAAATGAAAATGAAAATGAAATGAAATTAATGAACGTCAATAAGTCGTTAATAATTATTACTCGTAGACGAGTTGAATGCTTAATAAACAGGAAATGAGAAAGGGGGGGTTGAAAACCGTACTCCAAAATAGAGTATTGTACTGTATATCATGTAGGCATAATCTATTATACTTATAGAGGGCGCTAAAATACTTTTTTTTACACAATGTTTTTTATACTAGAGCCTGTCATGCATTCATATTTATTGTAATGGCTATCACAAAGTTTTTAGATCTTATGTAGAGCCAAGCTTCTATCTCTACACGCCATAAGTGAAAATATATAGCTTGACCGTTTCGCTATTACAAAAACCACTGTTGTACTTATAACAGTAGTAAACTTAAGCCTATGTGACGATAGCAAACGGCCAAGCCATATATTTTGACTGAGGTGTAAAGTTTGTAAAATTAGTATGGAAGATATCTTGCGTACTGAGATGCAACGTATATACATGTAGAGATAAGATTTTTTCGCTGTAAAAAGTAACCTATTATATAGTAATATAAAATCTTACCATTATGATGTAATAGAACTGCTTTCCGACTTAAAAGAGAGACAAACAAACATTCTTTCCCGTATGTAATATTAGTAAATATTATAAGTAGTAATAGGTAAGAAACCTTTCTAACTCATCTTTTTTTAAATTGGTAATAAAAAAATACATATACAATTATGATCGTACTAGCAGTAATTGAAGTTTCTCTGTGAATATCCGTACAAACCTCCATCCCCTTATTTAAAGAATAGAAGTGATTTGCGAAAAATCCTGAAAAACGTATTTGATAATTTATATCAAGGAATTTCTATATCAATATGCAGACTTCTAGCATCATAATTCGCGGCAGTTTCATACTAAGTTCCACCCTAGGTTAAGAAAATAAGGTATGAAAAGTTTTATTTAGATTTTTAGATATTTTTCTGTTATTTGAGAACCAATACCACCCTTACATACCAAATTTCAGTTTTCTACGACTTCAGGAAGTACCCTGTAGGTTTTGATGATCAACAATGAGTGAGTGTAAAGTACCGAAATCGGGATATTTTCGATATCAAAACTATAATAGCTGTGCAATTGAAACTTTATATGTTTTATAAGTTCATTACTGGGATCGCATCCCAGAAATTTGATGTATCTAGTGTAATTCAAACATAAGTGGATCTAGATTCTTTCAACAAATCTATGTTTCAACATAAAGGTCTACTCTAAATACCGTGTAAAAGGTTTTAAAAATATGAAAAGCAATTTTGAAAATGACGATAAACTGTCTGCATTGAAAACTGTAACGAACAACCAATGACGTTTTATTATTATACACGTCATATCTGCATATTAAAACAGCGTAAATTTTATTGTGGTTACATAACATTATAATACAACCACAAAGGGCGCGAAAAAATGAAAAATAGTTATCTTCCTATCAGAGTCTTCAGCATACCTCTTGTTAGAAAGAAATAAACATACTTGTAATTTCAAATACCTAATGGGTTGTGTGTTTGTAATTGACTTGCATAGCATTACACGTCTACTGCTGCATCCTCATAGAACACGACGCACATTTCATTATTCTGATTAAAATAGAAAAGGGTAAATACAGTACTTAAGCATGAATGATATCTTTTTTGCATTGTTTATACACCTGGGTGTATAAAGGCATTTTTTCTACTACTTTTCACAGAAAGTTACGAGTGAAGATGACATTAGCACTTTAGCAACGATTTCTGAAACGTGACTAAAGTGAAACTCAAGTAATTGCGCCGTTTTTTGTTGTCAATTTTGTGCGCAGAAAACCTATCTAAACTTTATTATTGCATTAAACTATACTTATTTAAATAACTAGCATTAACACTTAAATTTTTAGTGAAATCAACCAGTAAAAATTATAAGCTAAACCTAATCTTATACCTTTCTTACCCAAATAAATACTTAAAAACACTTGACAAAAATATTGGTGTAATAATGAACAAATTTGGTGTAGGTTAAACTTACGTGGACATTCGAAATATTTCAGCAATTCTCTTCCCCATTAGGTATATGAAAATAATGTTTTCTTTCCACAGTGATGATTCCTGCTGGCATTTTAGTCAAATTAAGTATTATATTTTAATTATTTACTTGTATATAATTTATTGCAGATTTTAGAAAATTATGTTATGATCAAGATGGATTTGATTACAATGTTTATGTTTTTATAATTTTCCATTTTTTTATAATTGCAGTTTTTATTTAGAATACTTCAAAAAGTAAAACTAAATAGAAATATAATAAATGTCAATTTGACTGAAATCTATTGTAATAAAGAATAATTGCAAAAATCTTGAAAATCTTAAATAATAAAGGAACAGCTATATTAATATATCAATCACGGGCAATCACGATAAGAATATTACACGAAAAGTTAAGATACATCAATATCCATCTTCTTCTCTGTTGCTTCGCTCTTGGCAGAGCGGTCGTGGTCACGTTGAAGGGTCTATGTTAGTTAGAGGAGGACACAATCCTCCTCAAGATCTCTGGCGATCTCTTCCTGTTTGCAAACTGTCTGGCAGAGACGGACACCTGGTTGCCCACGGCGGATTTCACTCGATCAGTCCAGCGAATGTGTGATATGCCACATGCTCTGGTTCTCTCTACTTTTCTTCGCACGACCAGCAGTTCTACTAAATTGTGATCAT